ATATGGTCAAAGGTCGACCGTCCAGCCTGGAATCCCGTCTGGTATACCGGGAGCGGGGGGAGCCTCTGTTGCAGCAAGTACAGGACGTGCTTCGCCACCAGTTTATAGATGGCGTTGCACATCGTAAGCACTCTGTACTGCGCAGTCTCCCTTGCTCCGGCTACCTTTGGGATTGGGACTTGGACGGACTGCACCCACTCCATAGGGATGGTGTAGGCCCTCCAATACGCCGCGATGGTCTTCTCCAGCTCCACGTAGAAGGCCATGGGAGCGTGGATCAGCAGCTCGGAGTTCACACCGGCCTGCCCGGGGGAGGAGCGGCGCGGCAGAGAGGCTGCATACCCAGCCAGCTGAGCCGCGGTTGGAGGAGGTCTGCACTGCAAATCCAAGTGTAGGACAGGTCGACACTTTAAGGCGTAGACCAGTTTGTCCTACGCTTGCAAGTGTCGACCAGCTGTGTGCGACGCTTTGAAGTGTCGACCACACTCTGTCTGACGCCTGCATGTGTTGGACACTGTTTGTCCTACGGCAAATTACACTGAGTATATAGGAATATTGTGGCCCCACACTTCGGTCGTCGGACTTGCTGTGGTCGACACTTGCAGGCGTCGGACACTGAGTGGTCGACACTTCAAAGCGTCGGACACAAGTGGTCGACACTTGCAAGCGTAGGACAAACTGGTCTACGCTTTTAAAGTGTCGACCTGTCCTACACTTGGATTTGCAGTGTGGCTGCTCTTGAAGTGGAGGAGGAGGTTGGCCCGCGACCGCATCCATTTCGCGCTGCCAGTCCCGTAGGCTAGGCTAGGGTGGCCCACGCGAAAAAAAAAGTTTCAAAATCGAGAAGCGCCGCACGGAATCTTAAAGTTCGGCCCAAAATAAAATTTTTCCGCATTTTTTCGATTTTTTTGGAGCATTTTTAGGGGTCGCGCAACACGCTCAAAGTTTTTAAAAAAATAATGAATTTTAGTGAATAATATTTTTTGGTGCTGTAATTCGAGTTTTGGTCGTAAAGAGCAAAGCGAAACGCCGAATTGTTCGTATTGATGCCTAGAATAAGTTAAAAAATACTGCATACCGAATATGCACATGGCCTACTTTCCAGGGGCCAAAAACTGCAAAAAAATAGGGGGAAAATGCCGTATTTTCATCTTTGTAGGCAGATTTGATAACTTTCCCGCCGTCGGATCGTCTTCTCCTATGCGCCAATCGATTCCTCACACTGAGAGGACCCCTAGAAACACTTTGGACTATGCGAGTAAACGACTGCCTATTTTCTAGGGGCGATCAATTTAAAGAAACGTTCAAACATTGTATCTTTTTTCACCTTAAAGGGCCAGTTTGACACCTTTCTGGGCGTCCTATCGTCTTGCTCTGTGCGCCAATCGACTCCCCATGATGCGATAACCCCTTGAAACAACTTGGACGATGCGAGTAAACGAGTTCCTATGTTTCAGGGGTGAACAATTTAAAGAAACGTTCGAAATTAGCGTTTTTTTCACCTTTTGGGGTCAGTTTGACACCTTTCTAGGCGTCCTAGCGCCTTGTGCTATGCGCCAATCGATTCCCCATGATGAGAGAACCCTGGAACACAACTTTGATACTATGGGTTGAGGATTGGCTACCTGTCGGGTGCCATCAAATCAAGAAAAGCATGAAAGGGACCTCTTTTTAAGCCGTTTTGGCCGGTTTCGCACAATTTGCAGCCTTAACCGCCATCTGATCACGGCCAATCAGGTATTAACCGTTTCCTCCCATCGTCCAAGGTGTTTCTAGGGGTTCTCTCATCATGAAGAATCGATTGGCGGATAGAACAAGACGATAGGACGCCTAGAAAGGTGTCAAACTGACCCCAAAAGGTGAAAAAAACGCTTATTTCGAACGATTTTTTAAATTGTTCACCCCTGAAACATAGGAACTCGTTTACTCGCATCGTCCAAGTTGTTTCAAGGGGTTATCGCATCATGGGGAGTCGATTGGCGCACAGAGCAAGACGATAGGACGCCCAGAAAGGTGTCAAACTGGCCCTTTAAGGTGAAACAAGCTAGGGCCCGCCCTTCCGTCGAACCGAGTTGCCAGCTCCGCTTCGCTGCGCCGGCAACTCGGTTCGACAGGGGGCCCAGCTTGGCCTGCCGGCGGCCTTTCTCCGAGCCTTCGGCCCTCGCATCAGACCCACCTTGGCCAGTCGAAGGCGCGGGCCTTCGGCCCGCTCGCATCACACACATCGTGAGCGGGTAAAGCAAAGTTATCGATGTACCATCGTGACTTGGGCCCGCCCTTCTATTCACAATATGCAATAGTCCTTACAATTTTTACTCCAACTGTCCTTAGAATATGCCCGTTTCATTTGTCTCTTCGCCCTCATTCCGAAAATACCCATATTTGCCATGCTACTGCAACTCCTTGCAATAGAGGCACAGCAGGGGCGCAAAACGAGTCCGTCGCACTTTTTCCCATAACTCATGAAGGCGGGCTCCTGGACCCCCCTTCCGACCCCTCGTTGAAGAGGTCTTGCCAAGACCTATCCAAAACTTAAGTAAAAATTTTCAGTCGGTCGACTCCCTTTTTTCAAGATCCTGATGTGACTAATAGACGAAGTCGGGCTCCTGGACCCCCTTTCCGACCCCTCGTTGAAAAGGTCTTGCTGAGACCAATCGAAATCTGCAATAAATTTTTTTTAGTCGGCCGACCCCCTTTCATGAAGATCCTGATCTGGTCAACTTGTAAAAGCGGCCGATGGGGTCGGGACCAGGTCCATTCATCTTGTCTCGTCGCCCCGATTCCAAAAATACTCATATGTGCCCTGCTAGCACCAATAATGGCGGAAATCCCCCTCCCGCTCATGTAAACCATAATGCACCTGCAGCAGCCCTTGCGCGACCAGGACGGGATTTGCACCACCGGATTATTTGTTGGACGGTACTCCTGAAGGCCCTCCCCCTATTTTTTGAATAGAAGGGCTGGCCAAAAATGGAACACCATTAGAAAAGAAAGCTAACTAAAACAATACAAAGTCCTGCTTGAGGATTGGGTCACGAGTTCTTACAACTTTCAGACCAGTTTCCTATTCACTTGTAATTTGAGAACATAATAGAATTCCCCAACTTATTCTATGGACCACTAACAGGCCACAGGAATTCAACTCAACTACAAAATTTAACATCAAAAGTGTGGACTCAGTTTGAGCGTTCTACAAAAAGCGACAAAAAGGCTTATCAGGAGAGCTGCCGCCAACAAAGGCCCATCTAATTTGGAATCCTGAACAAAGGCCCAACCAACATTCAGGACAAAGCTGAGATTTTAATACCAAAGTCAAGAAAATTCTGGTATTGAAATCTCCACTTTGTCACCAATGTTGAGTGGGCCTGTTGGACAGCTAATTCCAGATCGACCTTTGCTGGTACAGTATAAGCTCGATTTAGTGTTAGTGACAGGTGCTTAAAATTTCATACGGTTACGCGAATTTCATTCGGTTACGCGGTATTCGTTACAGGTAGCGGTCAACAGGACAACGTTAATTTGGGCAACGCTAAATCGAACTTAGACTGTAGCTCTCCTGATAAGCCTCACCTGCTGAACTACAATGGGCACTTATTAATCCTCAGGGTCAATGATTGTTACACGCTGAGAAGCTTCATGCTGGTCCCAAGAATGTGAAGTGAGGGCCCTCAGTGCTTCAGCAATGTCTCCATTCAGGGCACTGATAACGGAGAGTTTCTCATCGTCGTCCGGGTAGCTGTGTGTACCCTTAGCGAAAATCTTGGTCCACATCACTACTGAGCGATTCTCACGTTTCGGGGTCACTCTACCAAAAATGTCCTGTCAATGCCGTTAATTTATTACCAGTTTTCACCGTAGGTCAATTCACAGCGTTTACTGTGATCTGCTCACGCGATTCACTGTGATCTTGTTCACGGTGTTCACTGTGATCTGGTTCACAGTAAACACTGTAAGTTTGACGCCGCTGAGCACCGAAGTGCGGCAAATCAGCCTCCAATTCACGGCGTTTACTGTGGCCAGATCACAGTGAACACTGTAACCGAGATCACAGTGAACGCCGTGAACTAGTTCACAGCAAACGTCGTGAATTGCATAACAGCAAACATTGGTAATAAATTAACGGCGTTGACCGGACATTTTTTGTAGAGTGGTAGTTTCGTTTCTTCTGACTCCTGTGCCCAAACGAGCGCAGATATCGACATGGGGTTTGTTTCTGATGTTAGGGAGGGCCATTGCCCACTAAACGCACACATTTCGAAAAGTTCTTGTTCGTTGGATTGGTCTACGTAGCGTTTGGAATACCCTAAATGTAACTTCCGTGATTGTCCAAAGAGAACATACTCGAACTTTCCGCCCCCAGTGTGGCGGTGTGGTTCGAAAATGCTGCCAACTGTCGATGGGGACTCGAAGCTTGGCATGTCTCGAGCTAATTTCAACCGAAGACCAATACGCCAGACTTCTTTCAAAGGTACTTATGCTGCAACGAAAAATGTCCTCCGTATATTCAATTTCACTACACAAATTTCGAAAAGGCAGCTCTGGACTTCTCCCCAAGCCAAACTTTTAACTTTCCATGACACAAGCCATCAAAGTGAAGTCCCTGGGATATAATTGCATGGGTCGCGGAAATCTAAGATGCTGTACACGGTCTCAAAGCGGGCTGGAGCATTATAAAATGGCGTGTATCAACAATTACCTGTAACTTCCGTGGCACCCTTTACCCAATGTTGCAGCAGCAGTAGGTGAAAAAAAATTCCGCTTAAATGTCGGCCTTAGAGTATCATTTGACCCTGGAACGACTTTTAAGCCACAGCAAGCCCGAGTCAGCCGTTAAAGCCGATTTTCACACTTTGTAACTTCCGTGATAACGTAATTTCCGTGATCAAAACACCCACTAAAACGTATGGGAATACCTTATGGCTCATGTTTTTAGGAAGATAGTACAAGGTCTTTACTATAAATACCATTTACATAACTCTAGTATCATCCAGGACCCCAATAATCAGAAAAACTTAATTGGATATTTCTCACTTTCGGCAAATCAGAGACGCCAAAACTACCCCGAAACGTGAGAATCGCTCTACTGTTCTTTCAAACATTTCTTGATCCCTCCTCATCATCCTGCCTGCTTCCACATTTAAAGGTGACATTGGGTTGGGGTCTCTCATCAGAGTCTGCATGCAGAGACAGGCTGTTTCCAAAGTATACGATGGGTACCTAAAAAGTGAAGCACTTATTAAACCAGGAACATGGGTGGAAGATAACTGCGAATGCGGAAACAAAATTATCAAATTCGTTGATACAAACTATTTATCATCAAGCATATCAACACAGACAACACCCTCTGGTCCTATGTTCGGGTGAAAGATGACAGTCTTGAAGAGAAACTGAGAAAAGGGAAAAAACTATGTTAATAAACTACTACACTTATTAAATCTTAAGTGAAAATATTTGAAAACATATACCTTACCTTAGGACTTTCATAGGGGTACTTCCTAGGAATATGCAATTCAACCTCAAACACCCCTGTTTCATACGGTGTCCCCACAGAGCCCGGAATCGCTACCACGATCTTCTTCAGGTTAGTTGCGTCGCGAAGCTCGAAATCCTCGCACTGCAGGACAGAGGACAAAGTAGTTTACTCCAAAGAACTGCAGGACTCTCGGAGATTCTGACTGAATGCTTGGAAAAAGGGTCTAAAGGATAAGGATTTTCACAAAAGTTTTCACAGAATCGTGGCTACTTACAGCTGCGAGAGCAGCGACGTCCCTGAGTACAATGTTAGGGTGATCCATGGTGCTAACAGCTAAACTGTCATTCGCTATGGGATTCCACGATTCACTCAGTTGAATGTGTTCAGTCTATGACATTTGTACACTTGTAACTAAAACCTTTATTGCTCGGGAACCATAGATGATAAATTGATAAACTCAACGGAAATAAAAAGCTGGAAGACTTCTTCGTTCGTTCTTTCCGTATAGGTACGCTGAATAGGATTTAAACCCGGACAAAAGGCCACTGTCACATGGTACACTAAGGCTGTCACATAGTGTACTACGTGGGTTACGAAGTGACACTTTGACTTGGCCCATTCAACTCGGGATAACTCAGCAACCAAAACAGATAAATTAGAAATCTCAACAGAAATCATACGGTGAAGAATCATTTTGTTCACATGTCTACTTATGGATGTAATGTGTTTGGTATTATTGGGTTGACGGGCATTTAACAAAAACCGTCACATGGTACCCCACCTTCCCTTACGAAACTTGGCCTGCCACCATTTTCTTCTTTTTTTATGACTAGAAAGAGGAAACCTAAGCCAGAACTAAGCAACCAATTTTACCATAAACAAGTCAGAAAGCGACATTTTTACGCTAAATTAGTCAAATTTAGAAAAATGCTAATATCTCTGGTTCTATTTGAGCTAGCCAACTTTCCTTTTAGGGTTGATAGGTCCTAGTGGTACCTATTGAACCCACGAAGTTTGAACCGAATCCGTGACCCAATCCCAGATCTCGGTCCACCTTGGAGTGGAGTTACTCACTATGCATAGCATAGCACACAATGTCACAAAATATTTGTGGAAGCATTCCACAGTTTTATTCTGGATGTGGCCCAAACAAATTTGTATAAATGTTCTTGGGTACAAGTATGTTGTTGGCAGTACAAAACTTCTGAAGAAGTTTGAAATTCCTGTTAATATTTATTGACTTGACCATTTGACAAAACAAAGGCTTGAATACTTTTAGTACAGAAACTTGGCTAGAAACAGTATAGGGCTCTACAACACTTTTGTCAACTGTACTATAGTTTTGCCGAAAGAACTGGCTCTGTTCATAACAGAATCCGTCTGCAATTTCAAAAAATGAAAATTCATGGAATACCTTGCACCAAATTAATACCTTGAACCCAGCACCAGCAAGCAACCGAGATGAGTGCTCAGAATCCATTAGGCTATCGTTGCCCTGTGCACAACTCCCAAACATATGTTGGCCACCTTCAATAAGGTAACATAAAGACTGCATACAGTCAAGAAACAGAGTAACCACTTTTGATCTTCAAGACAGGAAAGCAGTGTTATTTATCAGGACACAAAAGTGTAAAAAGATGCATTAAAGCTTAGCTTTAAAAAAGAAGAGCTCATTGAGAATGACTGAGCACAATTATCTACACTGTTAAAAAATTCTGAAAATTCAGACCGAAAGTGTCAGACTTGTCCGTCTGAATTTCGTTTTCAGACTAGAGTCCTAATATTTGGACCGCAGGTCTAAAAATACGGACCTTGTAGTCTGAAAAAAATTTCAGACGTGGCGGTCTGAAAATTCAGACTTGACAAGGATTAATAATTTGCCCCGCGAGTGTGAAAGTAGAATTCAGCGCCCGGTCTTAATTTTCTGCCCGACTCGTCTGACTCCCGCCCTCTCTCTCTACATACGCTGCCTTAATCGGACTGCCCCGAAGGTAGCACCTTGAGCCCCAGAGTAGCCCTCTTAATAGCGCTCGGGCAGCACCTTGACCAGCTAAGCTAGTAGGCCCGAAAGCGATCTAGTTTGTCTCGGACTTTTTCGGCTGAGTTCGTTCGGCACCGAGCAGCACCGAGCACCGAGCCGAGCCCAGTGCACCCAGAAAAAAGATTTCTTGAATCAAGTAAAATATATTTCTTGATTAAAAATACTTGATTATTTGTCTTGAATCAAGTACGCCGATTCTTGAATCAAGTGAACAACACACTTCTCCGTTTCAAGAGCATTATCGTCTCCACTCAACGATACTTAAGTCTCAACTGCAGCCCCAAGGTCAGTGATACCAACTTAGGGAACCGAAACTGATGTAAAATTAGGTTACCCCGACGGGTCTTGAACACGCACCCGTTGATGTTAGATGCGGCAACGCTATCCACTGCGCTATCGATGAGATGAGAAGAGTGCGGTCCGGCGCAGCCTCTTGGCGGACCACTCAGGGTCAGGGGGATAGTCGGCTTGCATCGACAGCAGAGGCGCCAACATCTGAACCGAAAAACGGAAGCTCACCCTGAGTGGTCCGCCATGCACTGTCAGAAAACTCCGTAAAAATACGGAAATTTAACGGAGACTGTCCATTTTTTTTAACGGAGATTTTTTTGAATTATGGATTTTCTCCGTAAAAGTATGGAAGTTACGTATTGTTGTGATGCTCAAGTAAACGCATTCCATGCGTTCACTTCACACACGGCTCCAGCAGACAACTCTCTGCCGATCTGCGCATAACGCTTCCCTCACTGCGCGCAGATGCGCATGCGACGAGCGCGCGCCCGCGCTGCCCCTGGTGGCCGGCGCGGTAACTACGACGGCCGGGCGGGCCGCCCGGCCTCGGCGACTCCACGGATCCGCGAGGCAGTTGCGCCGAGACCGAGCTAACGACTAGACCTACGTGCAACTTCTCCGAGACTCGCGCTACGCTAAATCTACTGTCTACAACTCGAAATACAACCACGTCTCTTTATCCGGACTATCTTTCCAATTCCTCCCCTTAAAGCCTCCAAGCCCGCACTTTTAACAGTATATAAATGAAATAGAAGCGAGGGGGTAAACACTCGGGGTTTTGGTGTACAGAATACTCCCTATTACGCGTATTACGGGTATTACGGATGTATTACGAGTATTACAGGTGTATTACGGGTATTACGTGTGTATTACGGGTATTACATGTGCATTACGGGTATTACAAGTGTATTGCGGGTATTACAGGTGTATTACGGGTGTATTACGGTGCTCATGGAATATCAACGGAACAGTTTCTATGTAAAAAAAACGTACCCGTAATACGCGTAATACAATAGTAATACGCGTAATGCACCCGTAATACACACGTAATACGCGTAATGCACCTGTAATACACACGTAATACGCGTAATGCACCCGTAATACCCGTAATACGCGTAATACAACCGAAATACACGTAATTCACCCGTAATACACGAAAAAGTGTGGGTGATAATGAAAAATTCTGTACCAATTATCTAGGAGGTCATTGTAGGGAGGTTATTTCACAGGGTCCATTGGGGGTATTACGCGCGTATTACAGGGCATTACGGGGTATTACGGGGTATTACTGGGTATTACAGGGTATTACAGGGTATTACAGAGTATTACAGAGTATTACAGGGTATTACAGGACAGCTTGTACAGGGTATTACACGAGTGTTTACCCCCTCGAATAGAAGCCTTACTTATCAAAAAGAACAGACTAGTTCACGTTATCGATGGGTTGGGTGACCTAGGTGTTCCAAGAGTACGCCTTCCCTAAAGCGACCTCGCCTTTGGGTTTCCGTCCATTCATCCGATCCTAATGGCATGTGGTCAAGTGGATCTTCAAACAGTTTTGGAGAATATCACTTTCGTCTATAAGGACACTGTTTGCATTAACATCGAAGGTGGAAGGAGGGAAGTAAACCGTTAAAATGCGTTTATTTCTGCAAAATGCGGTT